GCAGACGACATTATCAACTTCCTTGAAGACACTTTGCAGATATTAATATGAGATCGTCGCAGTATTCGAGCATGATAACTTGAGCGACATTAAGACGAAATGTCCTTAATGGCAATTCTACTGGCATTACGCATGGAAATTAATTGAAGTATTAAATATATTTCACAAATTACTTACCACAGTTTATCGATTTACCGACTAAAAGTAAAGAAGTAAAAAATTGTGTCAGTAGGTGTTGCAAGTATAGACCCAGTCTGCAACACCTACTGACAGCTTCGGCTCTAATTGTACATCACAATTTTTGATCCCTAGTTATTAAATATCTTAATAAATAACTGTCGCCAAATATAATGTTTTTAGAAAATTGATAGAAAAAATTGAAAAGAAAACTATAGAAAGTACCTTTGGGGCATATTCGACTTTTTAAAGTGTGATACAATAAGCCATATACAAAAAGTGCTATATTAATACCTTTATACGTTTATGGGGGTGACTTTAAAATAATCCTTTAATATGGTTCTAAATTACATATATACAACCAAACGTGATTTTATTGACGATATCTAATAGTAAAAGGCTATTTCTGAGGATGTGTGTGGCATTGAGACGTCAACGTTTGCCACTAGAAAATATAGCCATTGAATCGCATGTTAAAACAAAATATAACCTTTATAGCATCTGAATTCCAATCAGACTGATAGCAAATATTACACTGTGACACATTTTTAAACATGAAAATCTTGAACCAATCGGGACCGCCAAAATCTGAAAGCTTTTGATGGTTGAAGGAAACCCCTAGCTGTGTTTTGAATTATAACCGGTTTTAATTTTGTTGACTTTGGGTAGATTTTTAAATAATACTAGCATAGGCCCGCTACGTTGTTAGCGAAACTTTTTATAGTTAAATAAATTAACATTAATTTAGATACACAATATACTTTTGGAGTAAGTATAAATTTTGAAACATTTTAATTATAGGGTTTATATCTTAATATGTTTGTTTTAATCTCATTTCTTACTCCGTATTTTTTTCGCAGAGAAAAGTAATGCTTCTATCCTACTAAATCATGTACAACTTACTTATTGTATATTTTCTGTAAGTTTACTATTTTCTCGATCCTCCCGATGGACTAATGTAAAAATTTCTATAATACTGTGTTAACTTTTTTGTCCCTTTCGGTAATTTAATACTAATGGTAAAATATCTAGTTCGTTTTAGTACTTATAGTAGTACGCTTATAGTACGAATTCCAATCTTGCACAGCGCATCATTTTTTATGCAGAGACCTGCCTTTATAGTGAAGATTTCTATTAAAATTGCAGAAATTTAGTATTTCTGGTGCGTTACGTATTACAAAATACTCAATGGAATTGATTCATGGCTGGATCATAATAATGATCCAGTCATGAATAATGGGCTTCAAAAGGTCGATGCTGTATAATATATTTCCAGTGTGGTTGGAAACATCATTGAAAATATCAGTACTGTTATTTTAGAAAATTTTGAAACTTTAGCATTTAAAAGTGCCTACACTTTAGTACTTGTGATGTTCAGCGGATTGTTTGCATAGTTTCACTTATTTTTATTTGAAGTCTTGACCGTTTTTCACTACATTGGAAATTTTAACCAAAATTCATATTATCATTCGCTGTAGTATAGATTCATGTGGGATTCGAAACTATATTTCATATAACCGTTAGTAATTTTTATTAAAAATATTTGAAAAATATTTCGATAAAACATTTTATTTGCCATAGTCAAAAAGTAATACTAAAATTCGGATATCTTTCTCTAACCTTTTCTATTTAGTAATTTTTACTAAAAATTAAAAAAAACTATTTTAATTTGTATAAACAAAATATACAAAATTTCAGGACTCTACCTCTACTTGTTCTGTCGTACACAATATTTAGTACTTTAAGTACAAATGTGAAACAAAGTTGCCAAAAGCATTTTTTTATATCCAGCTGTACCGCCGTATACAATGTGTGTATTTTTGGTGCTATTTGGTACGAATTTTCAATAAACCAAGCCTGTTATTTGTACTAATAGTTGGACATTTTTGTACTCTGAATTTACATTTATATTTTTACCATTCACTATGATACAATATTTAGTACTATTTTGTGCATATCGCTCTATTTGTAATAGTTAAACTAGATCTCAATCTATGACTTTTCCATTTTAATATTTTGTACCATTTTAGTACAAATATCAAAAATATATTAATATATAGCATAGCATTTGTAATAATTAAATCTATGTACTGCGTTTCAGATTTCTATTCCTACCGGTTCCATTATACTATAGTAATTAGTACTAATTGCAAAAAGTTATGCTTAGCATTAATTTGCAATAGACAAAATTTCAGATTTCTATTTCTCCCAGATCCATTGCATTTAATTATTTAGTACTTTTTAACGCAACTTTAGTGGTAAATTAAAAAAAAAAATATGCATTGCATTCTATTTGTAATAGTTAAAGCTATATGTGAAATTTCAGAACTTTTTTAATATATTCTAGAACTCATTTAAAAAACAAAAAATGTTTGCCTATCATTCTACTTGTAATAGCTTAAGTTACATACCAAATTTCAGATATCTATGCCTATCTGTTTCATTGTAGTATAATATTTAGTACTGTTTAGTAAATTTAGTACTAATTTCCAAAATTTGTTCGCACATTCTGATTTGTTTATCAATGACAAAGCTGCATACCAAATTTCAGAGTTGTAGTTCCAACCGTTCCGGCGTAATACAGTTTTTAGTACTATTTAGTACCATATTTGTTCTAATTTCCAAAAAATATTTTTGCACATCATTTTATTTTTAATGGCTTAAGCTATATACCAAATTTTAGATATCTATACCTACCTTTTCCATCGTAGTATAATATTTAGTACATTTTAGTACCTTTAGTACTAATTTCCATAACTTGTTCACAAATTCTGATTTGCTTATCACTGACAAAGCTGCATACCAAATTTCAAAGTTCTACTTCCAACCGTTCCGGAGTAATACTGTTTTAGTACTTTTTAGTACCTTTTAGTACTAATTTCCAAAAAATATTTTTGCACAGTATTCTCTTTGTAATAGCTTAAGCTCCATACCAAGTTTCAGATATGAATCTTCACCACTTCCATTCAAATACAATATTTAGTACTTTTTAGTACATCTAAGTACTAAATTCCAAAATTTTTTCACACATTCAAGTCCATTCGCCATAGGCAAAGCTACGTGCCAAATTTCAAAGTTCTACATCTAACCGTTCCCGCGTAATACAGTTTTTAGTACTTTTTAGTACCTTTTAGTACGAATTTCCAAAAATCCCGGCTTATCACACGCCTACTCACTAAACCCCACCTACATGCCAAATTTCAAGTTTATAGCTTTAGCCGTTTCGTCTGGGCGTTGATGATCAGTCAGTCACTTATAACGCAACTCTTTTATATATATAGAAGATCACGTGAACTACTCGAAGCATTGATTTTCACACTTCAGCAATGTTGTACCCCTTAGAAAGATCTAAAAACTTTGCTTTGAGATTAACGGGTTAATCTACATTATTATGGGTTTATTTGACATATATACAATGGAATTGACAATATTAACACACTGTGTTAACGAAACCTGGCACAATGGTAACGTACTATACATCCAAAAACCATATATTGACAGAAAAAATATCTGATACTACTTTATCATATGTTTTTGGTACGAGTTTTTATAATTAAGTATCAGAGACCAGGAACCAGCCACAAAGTTTTTATATATGTTGAATAAGTTCTGAGATAAAGAGCTCTAAACAAATAAATTCTCTTCTAAAAACCATTTTTTAATATTTTACTCCGATGATCGTAAATTCGATTAAGATGTCATTTGGTCTTAAACATTGCTAAATTAACTATAAAGAATGATATAAAATGCAATAATTCTTTGCAAAATTAAATAATTTTTATTTTTGTAATGCTTTTTTTGTAGGATGCCATCTTTTTTTGTTGTAAAATAAACTTAAGCGACTAGCAACTAAAAATAATAAAAACACAGAGAGAGAGAGAGAGATTTGAAGAATGAGAACATAGGTAAATATGTGTTAAAAATAGATACAATGTTAAAAAGTTATAAACAAAGATACAATATTATTTGACAATAAAAACATGAAGTAACAAATACAACAATGTGTTACACTAAATGTATGTATGAATGTGTATGTGTTTGTATGAGTGTATGTGTGTGTGAGAGTTACTCAGTAATATATATGTTGATGAATAGGGATGCAATGAAAATGTTATAGGAGGCTAGATAGAAAGGAGCAAAGTAGCAGAAATGAAAACGTTTGTTCTGCTATCAAAAGGAGACAATTTAAACGAAAACCAACTGTGTGATTTTATGACCGAGTTACATACAGTAGCATCACAGCACACAGTTGAGTGAGGGGGTTTTGTTTGTACCGGATGTAGAAGGAACGGATACGTTTCATTTCGGATAATGAACTAGGAATCAGTTAATGGAAGGTCTATAGACAGACTGGGTCTATAGACAGACGAAAAGTACAGCTTATACAGAGGTAAGAGTATTAGTATTAGTAATAATGTTTATATTGTGTTGTATGAAGATCCCAAATCCCTTGTTAAGTAAATGAAAAAAGTAGAAAATAAAAAAAGTAAAATATCATGAAATGAACCCTATGAAGAAACAAAATACAAAGTACGATGAATGAACTAACAAATGAAAATTACTCTAATGCTTACAAACTATGAACAAAAAACTGCATTGTAATTGTGGTTTTCTCGTTATTGTTGTGGTTGTACGGAAGTCATGGTCCATTGAAGAGTTAGCCGTTGTCCAGGTGCCAAGTGGAGTCAATGTTTGGGAACGGGGGTTGTGGGGTCTCTTAATATTTGGTGTTTCTAAAATCTACTGAAGATCGTTGTTTTGCTTTCGTCCTGCCCCTTTTTTGTGGAGTGTCGATTTGTGTGTGTGTGTGTTTATGTTGTGTATTTATTCCTGTTTACCAAAGAGATTTGCCATTTCCATTACCATTTCCGTTACCGTTTCCATTACGGTTACCGTTGCCATTGCCGTTGCCATTTGAATGATAGATGCCCTGCAGGCGGCGATTATTTTGTTGCTGACGCAAGGTATTTCTTAAACCATTTCCATTGCCGTTGAGTCGCAATTCCAGGCTGTCGTTGTTCGATAATGATTCAAAGGTGTAGTGTCCATTGCCGTTGCTACCACCGTTGCGGCTGCCGTTGCCATCATCGCCGTTGCCGCCGTTACCATTGCCATTTCCATTGCCGTTCAAAATACGGATGCTGGCCGAGCTGGATGTTGCGGATTGACGCGAGAGGGCGTTCTGCAATTCGCTGCTGTCTAAATCGTTTAGCAGTTGATCACTGCTTCCGTGTCTTCCATTGCCGTTGATGCTCAAAGTGGAGCCGGATCCGGTATTGCGGCCATTCGTGGAAATTCTTGTCGTTATGATGGAACCGCTTCCCGACCGAAGACCATTGCTGCTTTCCAAAAGGGTGGCGATGGGAGAGTGAATTACTTGTGCTTGCACGGTGGCACTGGCGGGTTGCGTGATGACAATCTGAGGTTGAGATGTACGTTCAATATTGAGGCGAGCAGTGTTTTCTTGGATCTCCTTTAGTGCTGGAATGTCATGAGTCTGGGCGAAAACAGTACCGGTGGTTTGACGGGACAATAGGCTGGGTGGGTGATTGACGACGGTGGCATGTACACTATGGCCCAAAGCTTGAGAGGGCAGGGACTGGGACAAAAGTAAGGCTTGGTCATTGGAAATACGGTCTTGAGATTGTTGGTACTGGGTACGCAATAATTGTTGTTGTTGTTGTTGTTGCTGTTGGCTACGTTGAAGTTGTTGTTGAGCTTGCAGTTGCAATTGCTGTTGCTTATATTGCTGTTCAAATTGTTCCATCAGTTGCTGAGCTTGAGCACGAGCTTGATTTTCAGACTGAATTCTGGCTTGAGTTTCTGCTTGGGAATTTTGTTGGGCCTGCGCCATGGCTTCTGCTCTGACCTGAGCTTCAGCCAATGCTTGTGCTTCGGCATAAGCAGCGCTCTGAGCTTGGGCCTCGGCAATAGCTTGAGCTTGGATTTGCGATTGCAAAACTTCGATGCTGTTGTAGCGTGATGAAGAAGAGGTACCAGCGGAAGCAGCACGAGCGCGTTCATCAGACATTTGCTTAGATACTACCGCATTGAAACCATTGATGTCGTCAGCAGTGTACTCGACAATTCTGCGAGTGCCATCGGGTTCAATGAGGGAATACTGTATAGAGGGAAAGTTTTGAAATTAATTAACCAATGTAAATGACAGCACCCACTCGCATCTTGTATTACCTGTCCTTGTACCACATCACCGTCACGTTTCTCCTCTTGTTGCTTGTCATCGCCGGTTAACGAGTCTCTGACATCGTAAGCAAAACTATACTGAGGATGAGCATCATAATCTTCCGAAGAGCTAACGGTAGCGCCAAAATCATTTCCAATTTCCGACGAGTCCGTTGGTTGTTCCAGAGAGTTACGCACATCCTGTTGATTTGTTATAGACTTTTGCTGGGCCAGATGCAGGGCCGCATGCAACGCAGGATAAGAAGCCGTAACAATGTTACTGGCCAACACGCCGAGGCACAAACAAACGAAAAGCTAATAAAGGGGCAAGAAGACGAAGAACGAAATAAATGAACAGTGTGCTCGTATAAATTATTTGCCACATTAAAGTTGCAACGAGTGGCATTCGTTGGTAGTGAATTGAGGAAATCAGTTTATGTTGCACGAAAGTGACTACGACGATGATACTTTTGAGATTTCACATGAAATACAAAGAAAGGGAATGATAAAAACGTGTCAACAATGTCGATTCGAATGAACCATTTGAGTTGAAATAAAAATTGATTTTTGTACGAATGGTGATAGCTGATGGTAGCTGTGAAAGAGTGCAGATATCTCTGCAAGAATATGTCATAGATTGTCTTCTGAATAATTAATGCTACACATAAACAGTAGTTAATTCCGTATCTAATCCATTGCACACTACGTTGATATTGTAGCATGCCACGAACAAAGGCATTCTTGGATAATGTCACCAGTAAAAACCATGATGGTCTCATTGGCCATCAATTTCTTGGCTTGCTCTTAAATTGAAATTCAATAATTTAAGGGAACTCCTCCCATTCTCGATTTTAATTTTTCAAGATTTTCTATGGGCTGGTAAATCAATACCAATGCTTATTAAGGTTTGTAACTTTGCACATATATATTTGAAGATCTAAAAAGGAAGAAAAATAATTTACAAAATTTTTGTTGTTGTTTTTTGCAATTACAGAAAAGTCCTTATTTTTGATGGCGGGCATGATAACTCCTCACTGGAATTGGGTTATTAGTTTTTGAGTTATCGTGCCCGCCATTCGCAAAAAAATGTTTAGAGAAAAACGCGTTTAAAGTTTGAGAAGCCCTTTAGCCGTTACTTGATGCTGACACAATAAATGGGCTATATCTTCAAGAGTTATTGAGATTTTCATTTGAAATTTTGTAGGGACATTCTTGAATTAGTGTAGATTCGAATAAATTAAAAAAAAAAAAAAAAAATGGGGGGGGGGTCGCCTTAATATTTTTTTTTTATCAAAACATCCTTGCAGAACAAATATTTCAAAGGCAAAATTGTATTGTTGTTCAGAGTACACATATCCTTATCAAAGGTTTTAACTTTTTTCTTTTACAACATTTGGCAAATACAATCGTATGCCATATTTCCCTGGGGTTTTGATTTATGGCATTGCCTGGCGAACAAACTTTATTCCTTGGTTTAGATGAAAATCGTCACGGCTGTCTTTCAGATTTGTCTGTTTTTGGTATTGTTTTATTGTTTTGGTTTTTTTCTTAATGTTCTTTAATATTGGAGCTTATCACATACCCACTTCATAGCTTGAATGAAAAGTTTTTAGTTTTCAAAGAAAAGAGTTTGTAATAATTTGTAATTGTTGTTGTTGTTGGTGATATGAAACACCTTAAAACTCTGACGATTTGGTACACTTTATTTGTAATGCAATGGTACACAAAACACACACGCACACACTTGTATATAGTATCAATCCAAGGAAGCCTTTGAGCAAAACTTAAATAATCCTTATGAAGGAAGACTGGGAATCGTTGGCGTTATTGTCGGACTAGTAAGGCAGTTGGTCTATTGTACGTGATAATTGTACCGCACAACTGCTTACGATAAATGCAATAAAACTTTTGATGACTTTAGAATAGTTTCAGGTAGCTTTTATACCAAAACAGCCTAACGCATAGACACAGACGGGTTTAGTTGGCCAACAAGCGTGTGGCCCAATGAATGAATGGGTGGATGGATGCTTGGATGAATTCAGAGTGCTGCATATGACTCCCTTCAACACTTTGTCTACCGTCCCCTCCCTACATTTTGTCATGCATTGGCCCTTTTGGGTTGCCAGAAAAAAAAAAAACAAAATTTAAGCAAAGACAAAAATAAAACTTTCAAATTTAATAGACTAGAGTTACAAATGACCTTCAAGAGATCGTCATTTTGCAAATATCATTCCCGCACCGCCAGACACAATGCTCCAGTAAGCTCTGTCAGCAATCTGTGCAGCAGAATGATTTTCATTGATGTACATGCATGTAGAAAAGCCTCACTTTCATTAGTCGAAATATTATCACATTAACTGGAGAACACAAATTTGACCAAAACAAATCTTCAACATAAGTCCTTTGTTTTTAAAAAGCCATTGTCGAATCCGGATAGAAATGTAGTTGTAATTAAATTTATTTCCATTTCAATAGTGCTGGAAAGGGTGTTGTAATTAGGTTTATAGTAGTTTAAGTTTAAATATCTTGGTTTATACATAGATACAAAATACGTAACTGTATCCCTTATATAAGTACAAAAATCAAAATGTTATACAGTTATGGAGAACCGCTTTTTAAACATCAATCAAAATTCTACAACAATTGCAATCTAAAACTTTACAGAAATTGGCTGGTGCACCTCGATACATATGTAACTTCACTCACAATGAGCTGAACATGAGTACGGCGAGAGAAAACATATCATACCTTCTCAAAATTATAAGTAGAGGATAGGAAAACTTTGCAATCTCTTGGCATTCATGTCAGGAGAAGAGTCCCGCAGGATATAATATAAAAATGAAACAAAAAATAATTAACCATCTGATATGTAAAATGTAATTAGAATTCTGTAAATAATACATCTGAGAATAATGTATATATCAAATTTATTAAATTCTGTCTGTCCGATCTGTCTGCTGAAATCAGGATAGAGATCGCAATAATTAAGATGTTTGGCATTGGAAATGGGATATATCGGTTCAAGTTTCGGAGTAGCCCCTGTATAACGGTACACTAAAATATTGGGTATTTTGTGGATGTTGGCCGGTTTTAAACTGAATTGGATGTAATTTGTTATTTTGGGTTCCTTATAGGTGGTATTAAATTACAGCAATAATAAAGTATTGGGAAACAATCTCTTTGTTAAAAAACTATGTTTTTACATTTATTCTCGAATTTAATACAAGATATGTTAGACCACAATATTTGGCCGAAATTCACTCAAAAACCGTATTATTTAAATGCTCAAAAACGCTTACGACATGGATAATTTCCACGAAGAACACACATTTTTATGCGCATCCGAATCGGATATAGCTCTCAATCTAAAAGTTCATAAATTTATTTCTCTGATTTTTTTATCCTCGGAATATTGATGCCAAAGACAAGACAAAAATTCAATCGTTACAATTCTAAATACATCAAAATCTTCTATTACCAATTCGAGTACCCTTTGTTTAATGGGCAGACATAATGTTACACTGATGATGCAATTTAATGTGTATTAAATGTCTTTGTTAACGGTTAAATCAGCTCATGAATGGCTTAAAACAGTCCGTCCATTATCTGCATATAGCAACGGGTTGGCATGCAGTCAGTCAGTCGTCTTCTTAGTCATTCGATAGCCATATAAATGCAAATGTTTGTGAATGTATGAATGTATGAAATTGATGTCAGGTGTGACAAACAACTAATTATGTCGTCATTCTTAAAACGGATAAGAACGAAAATGAACTTTTGAACAGACCTAATGAACGGAACAAATAACGAATAAAAGACAATTACTTTAAATGTGGTATATCGAATTTAAGTAAATATAAAGTTTATAAATATATGTATTTATATTTTTGAAATCCGTGATCGGATCCCTGCTACTACAGCATGTTAAAGGCTACATAGAATGTCAGTGATGGTTTGAATATTTTTGTGATTCATTGTGCTCTAAATTTAGTGTATTGGACATCAAACCAATGGTATTCTTAAATGTGGCCAAGGTGTTATAAGCGTTCATGCTCATCATAACTATCCATGACATCATGGATCATGATGTAAAAAATGTTAAACAATTGACGCCAGAACGCATTACTCAAAGTGTTACTTGCTTAATTGCATGAAAAGTGATATGGCCCAGCAGACGCTAGACATGCACCAATAATTCAAAGCGAAAACTCAACACAAAAACAAACAAATTAAGTGGTGACTCTTTATGCACTGGACGTAGCTTCCACGAATTGGGTGACATTTTATGCGCCGTGCATATATGCGAGATTGTATCATCCTCAAGTTACAGAAAAATGGTTATCCATCGTTTGAGAGTTGTTCAAGAGACTGACCAGTACCACTGGGATGTTGTTGGGGACACCTCTTGTTTATCGTACATGGCGGATGTGAATCAATAGCGAAGAGCGGACTATTGTGAACTTTTACATTATGACCGCCAAGTGATCATAACTAATGTCTTTCGGTGTCGGGCACATAGTTGTTGATGTTTGTTTCCTGTGTAATAATTCACTGGTGGTTAGTTGCCTAGCGTTTATATGGTTTGGATGTGACTTTAGGGAGAAACACATAAGAGGACTTGGAAGAATAAAGGAGAACGGTGTACAAAATCATGTTTGACTCTGATATTCCTTTTTAAATTGAAATTTCATACAAAGCCAACTTAATAGGCCCGTCCTGAATCCTCGTATGTGTTTCCCCTTTATGCAGGGAGTAAAACATTTATTGAAGAATGTTTAAACGTGTATCACAAATAGAGTTCTTTAACGTGTTTTTGGTAATTAGTATTGCATTTTCCCAAGTAATTTCAGAAAATAATTAATTGAAAATATGAGTTTATAGATTGAATTCCCCAGGTAACAAATAGTAATTTTATGCAAATTGTTTCATGAAATTACTCTAGTGTGGGCCGGCACAAACCCTACCAAATATAGTTTGCAAAAATTCAGAAAAGTAGTGTGGTAGTTCTTCTCCAATTATGGAGAATATCTGGCGTATTGATTTCAATGACGTATGCGGGAGATATATAAATCGTATAATTATAGTGTATATTAAAGGTATATTTTAAAGAACACCAAGGAAGAAAATGTTGGTCTTAAGGTGGAAACGCATAAGATGATTTCAGGATTGCCATGTTAAGTTGGCTTCGTTTAATGTAAAATTATAAAGGAGAATGGCGACCAAAATCAAGTTTGCCTCTGATATTCCTTTATAAACTAACATATCAAACAATGCCAACATAACATGCCAATCATGACTTTCCATATTATCAAACATTTAGACTTTAGACTTTCCATACTATCAAACATTTTTAATGAGAATAAATTCAATCATTCATTAAGCAATGATAGAGTATGTAAACGTCATTATGCATTCTAGTATATCTCCTACAAGATTAAATGCCAAGCATTCCTCTGTCACACACTAGCCACGCTACGGGATCATATGTTGTAATTTTTCAAACAAAACTTTTGCTCCGAACATCGTAAAAAAATGATGGCAGGTGCAACATTGATTTTTGGGTCATAATTATGGCCTCTAAATAAAATATAAATATAATTGTAGAAAACAGACAAATATTATGTTTTTGTTCAATTTGAGCCCATAAATATTAACCGATCATTAGTTGTCTTTTGCCAACATAAAATGGACAGACGGATGGACACTCATAGCTAGATGTACTTAACTTGTCGAACTATGACTAAAAAGTTGGTACATATTTTCATCTGATTTAATCAAAATGATGTACCAAATAACTAAAGTTCGTCCGCTTAGGACGAATTAGTGCACAAGTCACCAAATCAAATGAGCATCATCTATGAGCATCTATTGTATGTACCCAAAGTCGGCCCCGTCCTACTTTTGAACTTTCCTTACTGGTTTAACTTGTAACTATAAAACTGTCAATAAAGAACATCGCCGGCAACAATTCGGAACCTTTTGTCATTATAACAAACCTTTTTAATTACCTGTCAGCTCCCAGCTGATAAATTAACTATGTGATAAATTCTCCCGATATCCAAGAGATAAAGTCGATTCAATCATGGCGGTCCAGCAAATTATTGCACCGATAACGATGTATGAACATGGGTTATATAGCTATATCTTATAAGCCAAAACATGCAAATGTACACCGCATAACGTAGTGTAGGGCATAACAATACAAAATAAGTCGACAACAAAGCAAATGACAAACTTTGACATTAGTTATTTTCTTATTTCCGTTTGCTGGTTTACGAGGTACAGAGTACAAAAACATAAAAGCTGTAGTCGACTATTTTTCCAACAATGACAGCAGCAGCAGCAGAACAACAATAGTGGAAAATTGCACAAGTCTTCCGGCATGCTTTACAATACATAGTAGTTGAAGTCCTCTGGTGTCATAAAAGAGATCTTTCCTTTTTCATTTCTCTGCTGTTGTTTCGTAGTTTTCAGTTGGTGTGTGGCGTGTGTATGTCTGTGTTCCGCTCATTTTTATTACATTCGGCGAAAGTTATTCTATGCCGTTGCGAAATGTTTTGTATTATGGAAGAAAAGAAATGGCATGAGTCCTGTATGTCATAAAAGGACCTCGTGGGCACACATACTCGTCCTGATGTTTGCAGGACTACTTCTCAATTTACAAGTTAAATAGTTGATGCCATTGCTGATGTGCTGTGCACCATCGACCATGTACAGCGCCCCACATGCCTTCAAGTGAATACCTTAATACTTTATAAAGTGAGCAGATGTAGGTTGTGGAATTCAAAAGGCACACATAAATAGTCGAGTAGTTCCTTCTATTATTTCGTATTCAGTTTAGCAAAAGCAAAAAGTCGACTCTACATGATATTTTATGGTAATAGTAAATTGAAATTTTTAGTAAAGACCTTCACAAAATGTGTATTTTAAAGTCGCGTCGAACTTAAGTCATATATTGTCTTGAATAATTTGTCCAGAATATTGTATTATGATATACCCATAAACTAGAATCTATTAATGGAATAATTCCATGATAAAAAATAACACATGGGCACAAGAAAGCTGTTTTGTTCAGTTATTGTTTTACCCGCAACAGTTGCGCCAATTATGTTATTAATTTTTACCACCTTGAGGATTCTTTAAATGCGCTGACATAAAAAACTATATTCGTGTTTTTTCTCTTGTTTTGGTTTGTGTGTGTGTGTTTTGCTGTTAAAACTGAGCTGTAGTGTCATTTGAATTCATTTCCATGTATAACAATACTCGAGGATTTTCCTTCCGCATTTTCCCTCGAGTGTTGTTAAAGCTAACACAACGAATCATGTGTCTGCATGTTGGCGATGTTCTTTTTTTGTCGCTTACCACTGTTGTGCGTCGTTTCAAGCATAGCGAAATCAATTGTTGGTGCAAATACTCGTGAAAATACAGAAAACCACCTACCATTCGTAAATGTACCGAAGCAGGATATGTACTAAGATGGGTGTGTGGGTGCGTTGTGTGTGGCCCAAATGTTTCATTACAACAACTACTCCCATTCGAACTGAAACCAATTCAATTTGGAACACTGAGAACCGCCAAAGACTTTACGCTGATGTTGGCTTATTTTTTGTTGTTTGTGTTTCCAAACACTCGACGACGGTATTTTCCGCATTGCGGTGTAAAGTGAATGTTGGGGTGGGGGAAACTGATTTGGACTGCCATAGTCAAAATTAAATGAATGCGGGAAATTTTATACGTTTTCTCATTGGGAAAATATAATGAAATTGAAGTGATTTCAAAGGAATCTTGTAAATGTAGATGAACTCTTACTTTGTTTGCCATATAAAAGTGAAGTCATTTCTACAACATCAGATAAATGATTACTCGTTGTTTTATTCGGAGATTTGGAGGAATTTGAATTCGTTAAGGGTAGGGGCTTAACCATATATTGCACAAAACGAGAAAATAATTTCACAATCGGACTCAATACTAACAAAAACTAACTGTCTGTATGCGTATATATGAAAATATTTCATTTTTTTATCTAAGTATGAGTGTTGAAGTGATAGATAATGGTATATTTATATCAATTGTTTACATAATAATCTCTTTTGTGTCTGTGTGAGGATATTCTAGTATTTCACTATCTACAAACATACTAGCAATCTGTAATCACACTACATCTCCTTGATATTTCAAGTAGTCATTACGAGCTAAGTGTATTAAGAAATGACCTCAGTATATTGCATCGCGATGACTTTTGCATCTTATTATCCTACTGATAGATTACGGAAAGCATGTGCAAATATTTTACACATGCTCATCTCCAGTAATGACTTGGAGTGTAGCTTGCCAGATTTACAGTTGCATCCAATGTTCCATAGGTTGCATTCAACACTCTGGGCTGTTGTTGCCGTCGTGGTTGTTGTTGGCATTTTACCTGTTTCTCTTTGCATTACACGTCACAGTGACGTTGTCGCGACTTAACAAAGACTGATGATGGGCGAATGTGCTCTTGCATTAACGTAACTGTTTGTCATTGTGGTTGAAGGGGGTGTAGTCAATGGGTGTGCGACAGGATTCCACATCCACACACAAAGTCACACACCTATGTTGGTGGTTGTGGATAAAAACAAGATTCGAATTCACATTCGCTGGTGTTGATCATTGAATATATTTGCTAGAATGTGTGCAAATGTACCACAGACATCCATTTATGCATATCATTTGCATAATACTATGTATGTGCGACCATACATTCATACATACATATGTACGGAACTACAAAGGCCAATATACATGTGCACGAGTGTTTATCAAAATGGTTTTTGTTTATTTGGTTGTAAATATAGCCCAGTCAAATGGGCGTCGGTCGGTTTGTCATGTACCGTGAATTTGGACTGATATGACATTTTATTGCATCATATGTTAAATGAATTTCCACAGATTATGCAGTAGAACTCCGGTAGCTTGTCTCAGATCCTGGCGACTTTTTCAGTCGGTTTTGCGGGGGTCTACGGAATTACTCACAGGTTTTATTATTCGCTTTATGTAAGCTTCATATTGGATTAATAAATGTCCGAATCATGAAACTTTGTGGGAGAGGTACCAGAAGAAGTGGGCACACTGGTCACATTTTCGATCTTGATCTTGGTAAGGTAACTATATTACAAGGTGCCGATGAAATTAGATATTCCGTTGGTGCCATATAACAATTCGATGCAGAATTTCTATGATGCAGTCTTATTGAAGATTTTGACACAATACTGCAAGTAGTTTAATTAACACTTACGGAAGTCAACAAAGAATTTGTTGCTAGTATTGTTAATTTTATGGTGTAAATTTCTAAAAATTAATTATGTTTCATCATACATCCATAAAATTTGTTGAAAAAAGTACTGTGAAATTTCTATAAGAAAGCAAATATTTTTGAGTTTCGGCATGTACATTATATACACCGATTTCTCTTATTGAGGAATTTCCATATAATTATCAAAACATTTAAATTTGTGGCACAATGTTGTTAGCCATAAGGCTGATGGTATTAAAATGTCATTAAATAATTTGTAATACCGTCCGTATCTGTAACAGTAACTAAAATGTTTAAATAACCATGATGATCAACAAATTTCGGTGTTGTCCACCTTCGTTTTAATTGTCCTTCCTTCCTGCTGTTTCCTTGTGCATATTCTTCAATTTCAAGATGAGATGAAGTATGTAATACGACCTATTTCGACATACACTCATGAAATCTACAACATATATAAATACAACATCCATGTGTTATAGTGCTACCGGCAGAATTCCAGTGTACAATTGAAAGAGCAGGCAAAACCAATCTATATACCAGAGAAAATTTTCAATTTAAATTCTGTTTCGATGAAAGTGCTGATGGGTGTGATTTTACTTATAATGTCAGTGTGCTTGTTTCTTTTTGTTGTTGATGTTGGCAATGGTATGAAATATTTAACGAACGGCATATTAATTGAATTCATACAATTTTCATTCGAGAATAAGAATTAAAGGCTATTGCAAATAAGCAATAACATATATTTTCCGAACCCCAAAAGAAAATAATCATTGGCAAGATATTTAAATAAGATTGCATTTCTTTAAAAAAAATGGTAAAATATACAAATCCTAACTTTAATTTGTTCATATTCCTATTCTAAATGGGAAGACGATGATTGGTTCAGCTGGGTCGAGGAACGAAAATACAAATTCCGATAATACTACATACAGTAAAATCTCGATAATCCGGTAATCCGGACTACATTTCACAACTCATTGCGTAGCCTATAAGCTGGATTGTTTGACTCTGAAATCCAGATTGCTAAGGTGGAAAATGGTACGTATTATATTTAAAGTTTATCTTTTTGCAATGAATTATTTTGAAATAAAAACAAAAAGCTGTTTATATAATAACTAAATTAATAAGAAATTGAAATCAATTTTAAAACCTTGATAATCCGAAAAATTTTGCAATCCTAATTGGGATCTGCAGCGATGTAAATAACACAGTTATAGTATATTGCATTAATATACCCAGTACTATTCGATAACATCACAACCATCCACACTATCATCTTATAAAGATTCCATTTCTATTTTGTAAATCTGTTGTTATATCGTTTCGTTTTAATTTTTTAATATCCGTCGGGGGAATGCCATGGGTTCTCCATGCGATTGTCAATAATTGCTAAACATTGTTTCACTTTATTGTGTCATGAAATGAACGTGAATGTGGCCAAGTTCTTCGTTCTGTTGAAGTTGTTTCAGACGCAATTATAACCACATTATTGCGGTCGTTTAGCATTTGTGGTTATTGCAGTCAACCCCTTTTCGACTGACCGACAGTGAATTGACAGAATTCTGCAGAAATACCGTATTTCGTATTCAGTTGAAGAAGAAAAAGAAGAGGGTAAAACAGAAACACAATAAAGTAGATGGAACGAGTAGAAAACAAGACTGCTGGGACATTTGAATGCTAAGCAAATATTGTTAGTAAAAGTTGTGGAAAATACACAAAAACGTTACTGGACGGGATGTAACATTGGCATTGCTACTTTGTTTATATTTAAGAAGTTTTCCGTATTTAAAGTTTAGTTGAAGGACAAAAACAGAAGTTGGTTTGGAATGGGTTTGGTTTAATTAAATATTTGTTTAAATCATAACAACCCTCAAATATGCGATTACATTTGACCATTTTAATTTCAAACCGTATTGACATTGTCGTAGTTTAAATAAATTTTGTGATTCTTTTAACTAAAACAAAAAATCGATGGACAAGCAACCACTTTATAGTTTCATTACAAAGTAATGTAGATAATAATATTCACAGATTCATCGTGGTAAATAGATTTGTAACATATATGTTTTTTATAAATTCACTAATTTTTGGTGAAATCAGAGGTAACTTTTCAATGAACAGTGGCAAAACATGACGTAAAAATAACCTATCAAAAACTATAAGGTTTTTTGCAAAAGAGTTATTAGTAAATGTTGAAAAATGGGTGACGTAAGGGATGATAGATGCCAAGCAACGGCTCTGATTGACTTTAACATGACAAAACCCAGGCTTACCTTGGTCCCCCTTTCATCTCAATTGTGGACACTGACCTCCTGGGCTAGCTACTTCCATCATCTTTAGAAAATGTTAGCTTACATATGCCGCGAGTTCACCCATAAGAACTATAAAAATTGGGTTGAGATGTCGGGTTAGTTGCCCACACTCAGAAAACCCCTCCTACTATGAAAAAACAACGAACAAGAAAACAAAACCACTCCCTCAAAGCTGCGCCCCTGAAGTTGGCAATTTTGAACATAATGAAAAAAATATTTAAGTCGAACTTATGTCATATGTATATTCAGTGTAAAGATTACATATGTACCTATTAGTTAAAATTTATAAAAAAAACAAAAATTCAAAGTTGCCCCTCTCTCCATCTCTTAATATTCTACAGAAAAGTAATAAGGATGAATTGTAGAATTTACTTGTGTTTTTTTAAGATTTTAAAGTTTCATTTTTTCTAAAATGAAATTTTCCCTTTTACTTTCTAAAGTTTGAAATAATTAGCCAAACTTGGCAGGGTAATCTTTTGTAAAATGTCTAATTTTAAATGCAATGAAATTCAATATAATTATTGTTATTATGAATGTTCATTAAGATTAGTACTACTATACACTAAATAAAAACAAAGAATATCAACGTGATTTGCGTTATAAATTATGTACATAGTTATTACCAATCAATTAAATCATTTTAAAATATTAAATTTTCAAAAAGATTTTCCCAAACTGCAGAGCCGGCTCCATGACATGACATTTACCTAATGACTTGAGTTAATCGCCTTCGCCATAATGTTTTCATAAGGGGTAACGTGCAATTAAAAACAATTTATTAACCCTTTGAGTCCCTGGGTATTATTATTACAACTATCCTAAAGGGACTATAAGAAAAATAAAAACATTTCATAAAAAAATTGTATTTGATTGAAAGTCCCAATAAGTTTTTCTAGTTAATGGTCAGATTTGCAGATATTTTATGATAACAGATATAGGGGGGCTTCTGACATAACAGAGACATCTTATAACCAGTGAGCGGAGCAGTATAGTCGGACGGGGCCGACCACACGACACCCTACACAACTTCCACGGAACTCTAACTTTCTGCGGATGTTTATTATGAGCCTGTGCAATATTTCGTGATATTTGCACCCTCTTGCCCGATTAGAAGTCAACAGCACCTCTACCTTACACTGACATATGTTTCGAATATTAATAATATTCAGTACAGCCTTTCTAATTACTTGTCCAGATTCCCTTCACCGTGGGTTGTGTTGTGATGTTCGGCTTATAATTGTGGCCTATAGATTGACTCGAAAAAAACACAAGGAAATTAAGTCTTCGGTCCACTACATGCCAAAATGATTATCTGATCATCGCCGAAAATAATAAGCGTTGTCCTTGACAACAATTGGAAAATTTCAGAGCGACCAGCGACATATTTCCGCCCTCTAGTGTGGTAATGGGTTACAAAATAATATCTCAGTACGTAAGCACCTGTAAATATCTAAGTGTAACTCCCACATCTGAGTACGTACGACCATATAATTGGTATCAATTTAAAGGTCAACCACTCCTCTTGAACATACTATCAACTTATCGGGTCTATGTCCTTCAGGGGCAAATATATAGGCAATAGAATACAAAATTTGTAATTTTTCACACAAAAGTCAGGGTCCATTTGACCCGCTAACTATTGACCGATCCTTATCAAAACAGGCATGCTTATTCTTTGGCCCAATCCCCTTCTCCATGTAAAATTTCGCGATGTTCGCGCCATAATTGCGGCCTCTGAAGCGATCAGAAAAACCGACAAAAATTTAGTATTTGGTCCATTTCATCCCCTAAATATTAACTGATCTTTACCAAAAACAATAGGGGTCTTCAATGGCCAGAATCCATCCTACATGCAAAATTTCGTAAAGATTGGTCCATAACTGTGGCCTGTATCGTGTTTACAAATTATAATGGACAGACGGACGGACACACATGTCTAGATCGACTCAGCTAGTCGAGATATGACGATCGGTATACTTAAAGGTGGGTCTAGGACCAATATTTCGCGGCGTTACAAACTTTTGGGGCTGCACAAAGCTATAATACCCTGACAACATAGTTGTGTAGGGTATAAAAATGCCAATACTTATTTATATAATTGCGATATAGCGTTTAAAAACGTTTAACATAGCTTTCTGTGTAATTTTGTATGTTTTTCAATCATCGATCTAAGTAGGAAATAGAAATTAAAATTTAGAACAATAGTCAAATATCAACGAAATAAAGTAACATTTTATATTATGCTGCTATACTCAAGTATAAAATGTAGTCAGTCAGTAATCAGGGCTTAAATCGTTAACATTATAATTATTAATTTTAATTTTCTCCTCCATATTGCCTCTTAATGTCTTTTCAATTTTTGTTGAGAAAATATTTTTACAAAATTCATTATGTGTTGTCTTTATTGCTTAATGTCTTTGCAAAATCATTATTTAGGGTTTTCTATACAAAATAATCCCATATCGAATCAATATTTTATATATTTACCTTATGTGTTATGAAATATAAGCTTCCAAACATTTTGTTGTCGTGGGCAACATTGGGACTTAAAGGGTTAATAATGTCAAGGGAAGTAAACTGTGTAAAAACAATGGAGGTTAAAAGTTCCTCAGATCGACTGCACTGAATCGAATCTTTTGTTGCCTAATTTATTTCGAAAAAAATCCAAAATGACAGTTGAGGTTCGTCCCTACTCTATTTAAACCCATTGACGAAGTAAATAAATACTAGCAGCAAAACATCAAATGTTGTACTTTAACTTGGCTCCTCCAAGAGTACATCAACATAACTACGAGCATGGCTGTCGACATTTTCTATCACACCAACAGTGTTGAAAATTTTCAAATATTTTGGTTTTTGTGGCGGCTGTTGGGTTATAAAGGATTTGAGAATAAATATGCAAATATTCTACACAATTTGGTGTTGCATGCCGCCATTAGCTTTTGGTATCCGATGCATTTGACCTTGGGGCTATTGAGTTTACCCAGCCAGGATGAGATTTTCAAAAACCTATCGATAACTATTACCTGTATCGTGTGTACCATGAAACAGATCTTTTTGAGACTGAAACTGAAGCAGATGCGCGATATAGAGAATTTATTTCTAGAGTTGGATGTCAGTGTTGCAAGTCGGGAGGAATATCAACATTTTACTAACGGGCCACAGAAGTATGCACAGTGGATTTCTAAATTGTATTTCACATTCTATATGGGAGCCAATGTCGCAGCTATTTCAATGGTACTGTTGGACTCGGAGAGGAGACTTATGTATCCGGCTTGGTTTCCATTTGATTGGAATTCGTCGTCGCTGGTTTACTGGTCAGTGCTGATGTATCAGTTTATGGGAGTTACCACGCAAATTGTACAGAATTTGGTGAATGATGCTCCCGCTGGGGTATTGCTTTGTCTGATGAGTGGCCATGTCCGGCTGTTGGGCATGCGGGTGTCTAAAATTGGTCATGATTCCAAGAAAACGGAGAAAGAAAACCTCGTCCATCTGGGCAAGTGTGTTGAAGATCACCTGAAACTAATTAAGTACTATTGGAGAGATAACTGCAAGAACTCCTACTGACTCGCTTTGCTTTTTGTTTCAGATTATTTAAATTGATTGAAGACAGCCAATCGTACGTGCAATTGATTTTATACATTTCGAGTGGACTTAATATTTGCGTAGCTGTGGTATATCTTCTATTCTTTGCCGAAAGTTTGACGGCTTATCTCTACTATTCCATGTTCATATTGGCAATTTGCGTGGAAATATACCCGAGTTATTATTATGGCAGTGTTTGCCAACAGGAATTCAATGACTTAAGTTATTCGATATTTTGCAGCAACTGGACAGATCAACCCAAGTTTTTTCGCAAAAATATGAAGATTTTTGTCCAGAACACATTGCCCAAGGTCACTATGAGAGCTGGAGGAATTGTGGGAATGCAGATAGAAAATTTCTTTGCCATTTGCAAAATGGCTTATTCTTTGTTTACTCTAGTCAGGAGTATTAAATAGATTTGCTTAAAGTAGCATAATATTCAAAACTATTTTACACTTTTGGTTGATACAATTCAGAATATATATATATATATATACATAAAGATTATACACTACATTTGTTTATAGAAAATTAGAAGCAGACCACACGTTGCTTGAAAAATCGTTGTTTACAATTCCAGAAGGGTTGTACGTATTGAAAATGTGTATCTGTATTCAACATTAAATATATTTTATCACTAATATGTTGCTTTAACACATATATGAAATATATCTCAGTACTTATTCAACAGGTATAAAAACTGTATGGCTGGTTTTTGTCCTCTGATACTTAATTATAAAAACTAGTACCAAAAACATATAATAAATTGGTATTAGTTTTGTAAAAAAGTCAAATTTGCCGAATGTGCCCCTATCCGGGATAGCTTCGGCATTTGTTTTAATATGTATAATATAGTTTTTTTCATTTGTTTCTATCATTATTATAAAAACATTATATTTTTATAAGAGTATACATTGTTATTAACGACTTCTTAATAATACTGTTTTAAAACATGATAAGTGTTATACACGAAATGGAATGGAAATATTACAAAAACATCTGTAAAAATGAAAAACCGTACATCTAAATAAGCTTATTAGCCACAGATTTCAAACTTTGCGACAGTTATTTATTCAAGTTTGGAAATTCCGCTTCAATACCCCTACATCACCAGTAGATCGTTTCAGTAATTGCGTTATTTCTTAAAAATAAAGACAAATTGTCGATAAACGTATGAACAGCTTTAATTGTTGAACATTTTGAAAACAAAATGCATACATGCAAAATTGTTACTGTAGTTAAAAATTGTACATTCTTGCAGATTCTGAAACAGACCAAAGTAAAGTTCAATATTGTAGTATTTTAGTCGATAATTTAACATCAAAGTTTATTTATAAGGTCAACCGGTAAGGCCAGCTTAAGTCTTCATTAACTGTCAAAATATATTGTTTGAAGAGTACATTCCAACCAAAATAAAGAAAGATCTTTTTAGTTATTACCCTGTTCTGTGGGTCTATTATTTAACTTTTACCAATCATCGATATTATTAAAATTAAAAAAAAAACAATGGAATTGAAGTTGTTGTTAAAATAAGAGCTTTTGAATATAAATATTGTTTATTTTGTCGTTATAACATTTTATCGATTTGAAAACTGTTAAAATTTTATTGTGAGTTGAATCCTTTCAGCAGTCAATTTACTTAACTTCTTGATGTTACAGTTTTATCTTGTTCGGCAAAAATAAGAGACACCATTCGATTCAATGTCCGTTTTGTTAAATTTTTACAACAATAATGACATCCAAATTTTCCGAATTATTACTTTAACCGCTCACTGACAACAATCGACTCGCATTATGTCATAGAAATGATTTTATTTCTCCATGAAAATGACTTTCACCAGTGTTGATTAAAATAAAAACCAAATTATTATTTACAGGATATGTATATGAGTTGTTAAATGAAAGTGTGTCAATTCAGTCAAATTTCCACATACATACCATACATTATGTGTAACACTTAACATTGTATATTTGTAACATTAGGGAGACATTTCATTTCTATGTGAGATTCCCACTGCACTGGGAATATTCAATATAATTATTGTTATTATAAATGTACAAGTACAATCAGATTACTATGTTCGTGTGTTTGAGATCAACAATATAAAAATATACACTAATTAGAAGAAGGAAAGGATTCCGTTATGATTTGTGATCTAAATTATTTAGTTAATACCAATCAATTAAAACAATACTAGATATTAAAAGGTTCGGTGTTTGTCATCATAACTTTCTCATACTGCAGAACCGGCGAACTTAAAATTCTTCCACGATATTACTTACCTAGTGACACGAGTTAATCGCCGTTGCCCAATGTTTTCAGGGAATAGAGGAAATGTGCAATTAAAAGTAAGTTATTAATAATGTTTTGACAAATCATGGGAAGTAAAGGGCACAAAAACAATGGGAAGTAAAATTTCTTTAATATCGACGGAAGCAACCGAAGAATACTTTGCGGCAGAGAAAATAACCAAAATATGGCGGTTGTAGTTCGTCCCTACTCTATTCAAATCCTCTGACAAAGTAAATAAATACCAGTAGCATAGACATGAAAATCGCATTTTAACGTAATTCCTTCAACAACGCAGCAGCAGCATAACTGCGAAAATGGCTTTCGACATTTCCTATCAAATCAACAGTGGTAAAATTTTTAAAATATTTTGGTTTCTTTGGCGGCTTATGGGTTTTAAAGGATTCGAGAATAAATACGCAAATATGCTGCACAATTCGGTGTTGCACGTCGCCATTAGCTTCTGGTATCCGATGCATTTGACCCTGGGACTATTGAGTTTACCCAACCAGGGTGAAATTTTCAAAAACCTATCGATAACCATAACCTGTATTGTGTGCACCATGAAGCACATCCTGTTGAGAATGAAACTGAAGCAGATGCGCGATATAGAGAATTTATTGGTAGAGTTGGATGACAGTGTTGGAAGTCGGGAAGAATATGAATATTTTACTAATGGACCAAAGAAGTATGCCCAGTGGATAGCTAAAGCGTATTTATACTTCTATATGGGAGCCAATGTCGCAGCTATTTCAATGGTACTGTTGGACTCTGAGAGGAGACTTATGTATCCGGCTTGGTTTCCATTTGATTGGAATTCGTCGTCGTTGGTTTACTGGTCAGTGTTGATGTATCAGTTTATGGGAGTTACCACGCAAATTGTACAGAATTTGGTGAATGATGCTTCAGCTGGTGTTTTGCTTTGTCTCATGAGTGGCCATGTCCATCTGTTGAGCATGCGAGTGTCAAGAATTGGTCACGATTCCAAGAAAATGGAAAAAGACAATCTCGTCGATTTGGAAAAGTGTGTGGAAGATCACCTGAAACTAATTAGGTACAATTGGAGTGATAACTGTAAGAAGTCGTACTGACTCGATTTGTCTTCGTTTCAGATTATTTAAATTGATTGAAGATACCCAATCGTACGTGCAATTGATTATGTACATTTCGAATGGACTGAATATTTGCGTAGCTGTAGTGTATTTGATATTCTTTGTCGAAAGTAGGGCGGCTTATCCCTACTATGTCATATTCATATTGGCGATTTCTTTTGAATTATATCCGAGTTATTATTATGGCAGTATTTGCCAACAGGAATTCAACGATCTAACGTATTCGATATTTTGCAGTAACTGGACAGATCAATCAAAGCGTTTTCGCAAAAACATGATGATTTTTGTCCAGAACACATTGGCCAAAGTCACTATGAAATCTGGGGGAATTGTGGAGATGCAAATAAAAAATTTCTTTGCCATTTGCAAAATGACCTATTCTTTGTTTACTCTAGTCAGGAGTATTAAATAGATTTGACAAACTCGACTAAATATTTTAAACTTTTAATTCACATAATCCAGAGTAGGATGCACCATATGCTAAAACTATACTAATGCATATAAAATTAGAACAAATAATTGTAATTGTCTATAGCTTACAAGTTACATTCATACATTCAATGTCCAAACTTTATCATCTTAAAAAATTGATAAGTAGTAAAGAAGTTGATGAGTAGTGGAAGGATGGTACATTGATTCCACTGTGCAGTGCGTGAGAGGTAATTATATTTAACATATTTTAACAGCAGTCATGAAGCGAGTTTAACATTCAAATAAATAATAGATTACAAAAAATTCAATTGGTGTAATAATTATTAAAGTAGTAAATAGCAAATTCTAACAAACTATGGCGAAAATATAAAGTCTAGTAATAACAACTCGCCTTAGAAATATTCATACTACAATAAAGGAACTTAGTTCTCTTTTATTCATATCGCTTAATGAAATTGCGGGATATTTTATTACATTTGTGAGCTTATAAAACCTACAAAACAAATTTGTTCGAAATTTTTCTATTTAAGTCCAATATTTGACATAATCCTCACATAAAATTCTGGGTAGGCTCCATATAACAGTACCACCGCCCAATTTCAACCAATTGGGAGCAATTTGATATTTTGTATTCCCATTGAGTAGAAAATGTCATGACATCTGGTGTGAAATGAAAACGACATCTGATGTGATGTCAAATGTCCGAACAGTAAGTTTAATTTGTAGATGCGATTTCGCAACAATATTCGACATAAATACAACATATCGAGTAACGACATTTGTAAGCCATATTGCCCAATATGCCTGATGAGCTGCTTAACCAACGACGAAAAGCGTCGTATAATGGTGGGTATGTAGTATCTCCCTGGTATTCCTTTTCATTGCTACTACGATCATGTAGCTCATTTCGAAAGAGAATCAATAAAAAATTAAATTAAAAAATCTCGTTTTATTTTCGATATGTTAAAGTTTTTCCAACTTGATGGTCTGTAATTTGGAACAGTATTTGAACATGAACAACCTTCTACCACATAACATATAAATGTCCCGATCGACTCAACGAATTTTAAGTGCACATCACGTGGTGGAAGGTATAAAAAGTTCGGTCCTTCCGAACTTATCGACGTTTTAACTTATCCTATGTAATGTCAAGATTACAGTGTCTGAGTCAAATATAATAGATACAATGCTGTATTTTTAATAATTATTTGTTCAGAATTTTTTAAGTGAATTTTTTAAGTTCTTCATTTCTTAATTTTTAAAAATCATTCTTATTTTATCATTCATATTCCCGGTAATACCAAAGCCTTTTGTAATCCAGATTTATACTTCCTGGTAGTGTAATAAGCGTAGCGAGCAATACCATTATTGAACAAATATATTTTACACTATTTTGTTTTTCTTGTAAAGGAAAAATATCGGATACTTGCTAAATATCTGGTGATGTGCAGGAGAAGCATAATGAATCGCAAAATTACAGATAGTAATGCTGCACTCACGTGACACCCATAAATATAATTGGGATGTAGGATATAGGTCCGATAGGGAACTTTTTCTGTGATCGAAAATATTATCGGGAGAGTTTGAGGGCTTTAAGTGCTAAGATTTTACTTGGTGTATCATGTCAACTTTTCAACCCTTTCCAATATAACCAAAATCTATACATTTTCTCTCTCTCTCTCTCTCTCTCTATAGACCCTACAGAACATTAACTACATTTTGTTTGTCATAACCTTTGGCATATTTCTTTGCACGGGCTTTATGTTTTATTCAACTTTTGATTTCCATAGATGTGGGAATTTATCTCTATTTGAAACTGTAATCTTTTAGGTTGCACATGTAGCAATTTGTGAAAGTAGTTCAGTGAAATATATAATAAAGCATAAAGACTGTAGGACGCATTCGCCACTTTGGTCCCTTTGCTTATATTTGGTTCCATACACATCCTTCGTTGGTTTGTTTTTTAAATGAAAATTTGTGAAGCTGAAATTGAAGGTCGAGCTCTGTGTTTATTTCGCACCGGATACAGATATGCATGGAAACGAAATTCTTCTAGCAGCTAACACTGTGAACATACGCTCGCTGGAAAACAAACAAGACAAACAAATGATTTATCACAAAAGTTTTTGTTGTTGTCCCTCAGTCCTTGGGCAACGTCAATTACCCCACTAGTGTGATTTTAATCACAGACACACTAAAGAGTACGTCTCACATTTCCCCCACGTTTCTTTTATTTGTTTTTCTCTCTCGGTTTGGTATTTGCTTTGTGTTCTGTGAAAGAAAGTTTTCTTTTTTGGGGATTCGTTTTCTTGACAAAAGTTTGTTTTATTGAGCGTTAAAGTATTCCTCAGTATTTGTCAATGAACTTTTCCGAAGCTCAGATACTGCACACGTATGTTTAGAACTATTTCATATTTATTTAGATAGGTAGATTGCTTCTGGAATTGTCTATTTTTGGGCTGGTAGTCAATTCTCATAGAAATATTTGGTATTTTATTTTTTGTATACATCTTTGTTTAAATATATTTAAAATGCTGCCGGGTAATGTCGTCAAAATGTCTCCGTTTAGCACAAACCATAGGAAGTTGATGTCATTTCTTTGTCACCATTGCGTCTGGCCATTGTGTGCGTGACATTTGGCATTGCATTTGAAATGTCCCGGAAGTCCAGTAAACTTTGTGTAATTTGTAAAATTAGTTGGTACCAGACAGAGTAGTTTCATATACAACTGCTATTGAATAAGTGGGGCTATCGAACATGAATTAGGATCACATATATGGTAGTACAATATACGGAAATAAAATCTTTCAATATTTTTTGTCATAATTTATCATTTGAAGAAAATATTTGATGTGAAATATTATAAATGAAAAATAATAAAAGAATAACGTCGCATATTCAAACCATTTCTTTTAAAGTTAATAATATTATATCTCTCTCTAATTCGTTCTGTGTTTTCAAATTCCAAATGTATTTTTCTTTAATCAAATGTTAGCATTAAAGTTTTATTTAATCAAACAAAGTCACATGAAGGGAGAGGAAAGAAATCTCAACATCTTTAACTGCTCCCCAAGGATGCTCGGAAAATGATGCTGTAAATGTTTTGAGTCTAAACAGAAATTATGAAAAGTTATTTTCCCGTTTATTTCTTTCGCAAAAGGACAGAGCAAAGACAACATGTCCAAACATTTCCCCCAGGAAAAATGATACCTACATCTGTGTGTATAAGTGTAGATTTGAATATGGAATTTTTTGTAAACAGGAGTTTTTAACAAAGCGAATTTTTCTTCTTATTACTTTTTTATCACTTAGTTGGTTTTTTGACCTTTAATGTGGACTGGTGAGCCATTGAGAGGATATTCGTTTCCACTATTGTACTTTAATAAGCTTCTCGGATAATGTAGTTCTTAATTGGAAATTAACCTAATTTAATTAAAATATATTTTTCTGTATTAGATTATTGCTATTAACAAATTGCGCAATATAGTTAATGTCATCACTTTTTGCTACTGTATGAGTTATTTGTAAACTCTACATCAAACTGGAAGTATTTTGGTTCCTCATATGTTCATTGGAACACAAAGTAGAAGAACATCAGAATTTGTCCTTTCTCTTTTCGAAACAATAATAGCATAGTTTTGACAATAAAACACAGCACTTAAATATATATATATATATATTTACAATTTTGAAGTCATTGCTATATTTCGACCAAGAATGTTTAATACCATTTTGACAGTGTGTGCACAAATCAACTCCAGGATCTGGATCAACACTTACTGGATAATAACTCGTAGCGAATCACGGGTTTGCGGCTACGACATGGAAATTAAAGATCACAATCACAAAACATGTTCATTTGAATGTGGCGTTTGAAGAAATAATTAGAATATTTTATTTTTTGCAAACTTTTCACAGGAAGCCGTGGTGTTTGTTTTGAAGCGAAATTGGCAACTTCGTCCTCGAATATATTTATAAAATATTAAAACAAAATGACAGTGAAATTACATATTTTATTTCGCATTTAACAAATATTTAATATATATATATAGATATATATATGGGAAATTACAAAAATCGTTTAAATTCCTTGAAACTGAGGTTTGCAAGGTTATAACTCGCGAAATACACTGCGTATCATAACTATAGACGCACCCTTAATTCAATTGGTATGTTAGTTGAGAAATAAATGGACCCATTAAGTTATTGTTCACAATAAAACGATCAAAAACACATATTATTCAACAAAAATAATTAATTTATTCTTTATGGTTTCGCCGAATTCTGCACTTTCAAAATTGCTGGTGTTGCATAACTATAGACGCACTTTTACAAAATTAGAAAAATTCATTTTTAAAACTTCAATAAAATAAAATAACTTTTATAAATAATGGGTAGGGCCTCCCTTATTTTGAATAAGTTCAAAAATTTTATCCATCACACTGTTGATCAAAATTATTCGCAAGTCTTCGTGATTGACCGCCATTCATCGAAAATCACTTCTTGGAGGTAAAATACAGTTTGGTATTGGAGGTTTTCGGCATAGTAAAACGATGGTCAAGATTCCACACAAATGTGTTGAGGAAATTTTAATATTTTTCGATTTTAACCATACTTGAGTATGGCGACTTTTATGAACTGGTGCGTTGTCCTGCTAAAAAACGAGTCCTTGATTGTTGCTGCTTTCCCAAAATTGCAATAATTTGTCTTCCAAGACTTGGACGTACTCCATTGAATTCATCCGACAACTTGGAAATGTCAAATAAAGCATTCCGTGGCTATAAAATGCTCCCAAGGTGGCGGTTACCTAAATATCGTTATTTCTTAATGCGATATTTCGGTGGTGGTTCCTTAATGGCCTTGGGAGCATTTTATAGCCTTTATTTGACATTTCCATGTTGTCGAATGAATTCAATGGAGTACGTCCAAGTCTTGGAAGACAAATTATTGCAATTTTGGGAAAGCAGCAACAATCAAGGA